GATGACCTTCACTCCTTCCTTTGCAGGATCAGAATAACAACCCTCAGAAGACTTTCTTGATTAACATGACTTGCCAATTTTGCTGGCAGCTGCCACCCTCCAGCTACCTTTGCTCCAATCCTACCAACTGCAAGACGGTGTCGTGCCCTCGGGAGCGCTACACGGCCAATTGCACCGTGAGAGACCACATCCATTGTCTAGGTAAGCCAGGCGTCTCACCAGAGGAATGGGTAACCCGTCCTCTTTTCCTGAAGTTCCCGGAAGTCTGCCTTGTAAATATTTAGCTTTGTATTCTGAAAGAAATAACGAGCTTATTTTATTTTTTGAATCCCCTCCCTTTTTATTGTTAGCCACCCTGAGTCTCTCAAGAATAGGGCGGCATACAAACTTAATAAAATGTAAAAGTAAATGTAAATGTGTCACCTCCCTGCTGGTCGAAACCAATCAGGAGGGACACAGGTCCAGCAAACAGGTGGCGGCACTCATCGCTCCCATGGCCTTGTCCACGTCCTCAGGAGTGACAAGCTGGAACTCACTCCACAAAGTTTGACCAAGGCCCTCCCTCGGCATCTCTACTGGCACTGTCCAAGTGGAGTCCAGATCCATCAGAATCTGAATGACTTTGTCCAACAGAAACTGGGCAAATTCCTCAGCTCTTCCCTGTAAGGGTTCCCCTGCATCCCTCCCTTTCAGGAGGGAGCGGATTATCCTAAACAGGGCAGCCGGGCGAGATTCTGCGGACATAATAAGAGCGGAAAAATAAGTACATTTTGCCGCCCGTATTGCCACTAAATAAGTCCTGATAAAGGCTCTTAGTAGTGTTCGGTCAGATTCGGAGTTACTAGCCCTCCAGCGTCACTCTAGGCATCTCTTTTGGTGCTTCATCTCCCGGAGTTCCTCGGTAAACCAAGGTGCTTTCCTGGATCCACTGCTGTGTAGAGGCCGCAAAGGCACAATCCGATCTAAGAGGGCTGTGGACAGAAGATCCCCTCACAATCTAACAGATTTGGAGCACTTTTGCAAGGAAGAATGGCAAAGTTATGGCATACTCATAGATTAAAAGACTAAATACTGTCATATAATTAAATAATACTTCAATAAAGTATTAGTTTAAGGATCTGCACATTTATGCAACCACATTACTGTACATTTTTATTGTGATTTTTTCCCCTTAAAATATTTCAGTTTGTTTTTCAATAGAATTATACAGTGTACATGTTAAATTAAACGTGGAATAATTTATATGGTTTGATTTTTTTACTTCTTAAAAACCTGGCATTTTAACAGGGATGTGTAGACTTTTTATATTCACTGTACCATCCATAGGGGTAAGAAGAGATTTTATAATATACATATTCCAATTGAATAGTGCTATTTATTCTTAAAATGAATGATCAAAAGTTTCTGAACTGGTTAGAGTTGAATTTTGGCTAGTTAATATTTTGGATTGGTATCACCTACTATTACTAATATATAGAAGAATCCTTTTGCATATAATAGGTACAGAGAATATAGAAATGCATGAAACCCCTATTGAAATGCTTCAGTCAACCAGTCTCACTTCCTTGATAGAATAGATGTATTTTATGTTACTGCATGGTTAATTGTACGTGAGCAGCTTTCATCACAAAATATGCTATTTTAAGTCTTAATTCTTTTCTGTCTTGTTAGGCATTACCTGAACAAGATGCAGTAGTAGAGCCACTGAGAGTGAAAAAAGTGGTGTGATCAATAATATGGATGCTGCCAATAAGGTTTCTGGGTGAAAAACCAATTGAAAGGTAATGTTTTTTTAACGAATTCAGCCAGTAGGATATCGTGAAATATGAATACCAAATTAACTATTATCAAATTAATGCTCTAAAATGTGTGGAACATAATGTGCAGATCCAGCCAACATACTTGTAAAGTGACATTCTGGAGATAGAAAGGAACTGGATTGGATATATAGCATTTTGTGTCTGCTATAATATAATAAAAACTCCAGTGAAGAGTCTTCACCATCTTTTATTCTCTCTCCATCCCTTCTCCTCTCCTTTTCTCACCCTTTAGCTATTAGACCACTGAGCTTTTAGTGAGAGAACAGCACTAATCCATATGAATGAAAATGTAGTAATTCTGCAGCAATTCCAACCTCATTAAAACTACTGAAGCTGTACTAGGTTTAACAAAGGTCAATGAAAAGGTTCTTGCTAACTCCAGTGTGCCTTGGACCCAACCTGAGTCAGAATCTATTTTGATTCAATTTGTTTCAAGATTGTAAATTCAGTTACACTGTTATTGATAATGGATTTTAAATCTTCAATCCTTAATCAGTGGAATTAGCATATAATACAGTATTTTATTCCCGTTATGTCACATCCCTTTTTCTTTTAAAAAAAAGCCTTATTCCTGGATATATGTAATAGAAGGTGGGGGAAATGAAGATAGGATTAGTATAAGCTTTGCACACTGCTTCAGTGCTTCTGCAAATAAGCTACAAGGATGGTGATTAATCTGGTGAACTTTAACTTTTATTTATTTTTAAAAAGCAGCAAAAAGAGTTTTTTCTTTGTCAGTTGAGATGTTTGAAAAAAGTAAAACAAAAACACTTTAATTAACAGAAATGTGGCTTTTTTCCCATTATGATTGCTAACACAGTAGCATATATGTTTGTTTTTTTCCATTTCAGTGCCAGTTTGAACCTGCTATTAAAGTTACATAAGAATAGAATAAACAGTTATTATCAGCCAGTTTAACCCTCTAATATTGCTTAAATAACTCTTCCCTGAAGCATCTGGTAAGAAATATTAGAACTTTACAATGTCCAGCATGCCCATAAATATTCGTACCAAGAAAAGAGTTTTGACAAGGTTCTGCCAGAAGCGTTGTCATAACAGGCCTGACTTGCTTTTCAGCTGAATGGTTGAAATTATATTAGGCAGAACTGTAGAACTAAATAGCTTCTGGGATCAAAACGTATTGACTATTTTATTGAAGATTGTGAAAAGCTTTGAGAGATTCAAGTAGACCAAACTTTGAATCACTCTATTGAAGAAAATTCCAGAAATAAAATACACGAATTATTTGAACTGACATTTTTCACCAACTGTGTATGAGCTATAGATTTAGCCAAAGTATATGAAACAGGTATGAATAATATACAGTATATGCTTACTATTCCCATCAATATACACACAAAATATGTAAACAGTAATTGTTAATCTATTGAAACTGTACTGATTGGCAATGTATATTTTTTAAAAAACCTTGTACTAAGTTCAGGATAGTATATTTCTTTATTAAAAGTAGGGACATTGGAATGAATCTTCTAATCACAACAAGACAATAAGAAAGATAACTAGGGGATGTCAAAAGGATTTAAAAAATATTTTAATAGCCCATGCACAGGGGTGGGCTGCTGGAGGTTCACAGGGGTTTGGGAGGACCTCTAGCTAAGATTCTGTGCAGTTCAGAGAACCCCAAAAATCCCACTCCTGGCTGGCCCCATCCACCCTGCCCCTCCCCTCCCAGGAGTCCCCACGTGGCCCATTTTGGATGCAGGTAAGTGCAGGGCATGCATGGAGGCTCAGGAAGGATGAAAAATGGGCCTACTGGAAGTTCAGAAAGGCAGGAAAGAGGCCCGTTTCTGGCCTCCAGAGGGCTTCCAGAGCCTGGGGAGGCCATTTCTGCCATCTCGCAGACTCGAGGAAAGCCTTCGGAGTCTGGGAGGGCAACACCCCCCCCCATGGTGCAGGAGGCCAACTAGGCCATGCCCACCATGGCCATGCCTACCCAGCAACCGGTCAGAGAACTCCTTGCTAAAAATTTTGAAGCCCACCCCTGCCATTGCACAATATATCCCCCAACTTATGCATAGAGCATAAGGACATATTTGAGAAGCAGCCTCCACTCCTGTATTACATATTGATAATGATGGGATGAATTTCAAAATAATGCATATTAATCATAGATAGATAGATAGATAGATAGATAGATAGATAGATAGATAGATAGATAGATAGATAGATAGATAGATAGATAGATAGATAGATAGAT